ACCTGAGATGGTCAGGCCCTCCCTTTCTACTGAGTATCTGTGTGCCTCTCTGTGTCAAATAAATCCTGGAGTTGCAGTGTATTGCTTGTTGTGTAGTCCTGGCAAATTGTGGCCAAGCATTACACAGAAACAGAAAATGAGATATACACATCTCCTGAGAATCCTGATTTTTACCTGGTGCTGAGCTGGTCTCTGGCATTTTGCAGAGCACAGCAAAACACTGCTGGGCTTTCCTTCTCCAAGTAGTGTTGTCTATTTTCTTGCATTTTTTCCCCAAAAGAACATCATAATTATCCAGAGATATGAGGATGAGCGTAATCACTGCAACTATCCTCTGACCTTCTGCCTAAAGCTCACAAAACCTTATCCCAATAACTCTTTGCTTTGAGCCTGTAACTTTTTAGAGCTGCCTCCTGGATTTTTCCTCAGATGAACTGCAGGCATGGAACCCTCAACAAGTCTAGGTTAAACCAGGTGCTGTCCTTTCAGAAAGGAAGAAGGTAGGTGTTGCCTAGTTTTCTGTAAATCTCCTGCTTGCTGGAGACTAGCCATAAATTTCCTGTATGTCCTGATTTTCATGGTTGATTGCCCATTTTTCATCCAGAAAACTTTTATGGGTGGTAATGGAGTCATATGCAGGTACTGAATTGAGTTTGTACTGAAGATGTGTTATGCCAGTGGTCTTGTATGTGCATGAACTCTTGTCTTCCCAGCCCATGGAAGGTAGCTGTGCTGAGGGAATCCAGAAGATGAAGGGGAGCTGTGGGGAGCCCCAAGCTACCTGCCTTTCCCAGCATGTGCAGCCTTCACCAAGTGAAAATACTGCAGGTCACTGTCACATCAATAGACTATTTTAGATCTCTCTCCATGCTTTGGCAATTTTCCTGCACAGAAAAAGCCATCAGATTTCTTGGAATTAATTTTTACTTTGAATTCAAGAACTAGGCTTGAACCAAAGCCTTTGTGCTAGAAAAACATCTGAGTCTCACCTCACCAGCCTTGAGACCCGGCCCTGTAGTAGAAGGGGAGACCTGTTGCAATAGGTGTGGATTTATTTCTCTCTTGGCTGGGGGCTGAGAGAAAAGGTTTCTGGACATGGAGGAGAGTCAAAGAAAGAAAGTGAAATGGAGTGGTCAATTTGCTAGCTGCAATCTTTGATCTGTGGTTGTCTGCGAGCAGAATTGGAGCTCTGTGATTAGATGTACATGCTCATTATGTGTTGTACTCTCCAAGCAGGCATTGTACATACAGCACAATGTATTCTGCTTCCTTCTGCCCAAATATCTTTTTTCATCTATATTGCATTAAGACCTTGAGGCCTATCATCGGGGAGAGAAAAAATACAATTTTCTTATTGTGCAATGCATTTCATTCCCAGCTGCTGTATTAAATTTATTCCTATTTGAAGTGGTGTCTGTGAGTATAAATCATTTAAGTTTATATGTTTTTGTTGCTGTGGCAACTGTTTGACTAATTGAATTCCAAAGTGTCTCTCTGTATTTCAAAGTTATGATAAAGGGCACACATTTCTAGTAGCAGGAGTTTGAAGTGAGGGGGGGGATAGGGACAGACAGTCCTGTCAAAATGCCATCTCCTCAGTCGCCCATGCACAGGCCACACAGCAGCACCTCTGGCAACTGGGGAGGAAGGTAAGGGCTGTGTAGAGGAGTCATAGCTGCAATGTAAGCTCCATGTGAGTGACAAACTCAAATGCTGTCAATGACTTTAAGATGGAGAAATAAATGAAGGAGCTGCTGTGGCCCTGAGAAGGTCAAATTTCCCTTTTCTGCCTCAGTTTTTCCATCCTTCATCCATTGCTGGTAGACCAGAGTACTTTATGGTATGTATGTGTATGGATATTGTAAAGGGTTAGGCATTTCTGGCCTGTCCTGAATTCCCATTAGGCTGGTCCATGGAACTTGCTGGGCCATTCAACTCTGCTGCAGGACAAGTGTTTTTCAGTTGCAAACTACAGGTAAGTGACTGCGCCAGACTCAGCAGGGAGGACAGAGACATTAAGGGCTAGCTCTTTGCAAGGGAATTTGTCCTCTAGGGACAGAAAGAGCAATTCCTTTGCAGGAAGAAATTTCCAGGCAGCAGCCTGCCTATCTTTTGCTCTTCTCAGCTTGCTCTGGCCACTTCTGTGCTAGCCTAGAGAGAGCTCCTTTTTTGTGTGTTAATTATGTAGGTGTTTATTGCTGCCACAAAATGTTAATAGACAGCCTAATAGAAACCATGCTGGCTAATGAGAAGCTCCTGAATACCTGCTGCTTTTCTCTGGGAATA